GGGGGGGGGGGGGGGGGGGGGGGGGGAGTTGAAAAAGAAGGTTCTGGAACCCGGTAAAGACACAGTTTCCAGACTATTTCCTTACCCATCTATACTTGGCAAAATAATGGCCCCTCACAGATGTTCATGTCATAATCCCTGGAATTTGTGAAGATGTTATCTTATATGGCAAAAGGGATTTTGCAGACGTGATTAAGTTAATGATCTTGAGAAGGGGAGATTATCCTGGGCTATCTGGGTGGGGCCAATGTAATCACAGGGTCCTTATGAGAAGGGGGTAGGAAGGTCAGAATCAAAAGAAGCAGAAGCCAGGTCCAGATTTGAAGCCAGAAATTTGAAGATGCTGCGCTGCCAGCTTTGGAGGTGAAGCAAGGGGCCCTGAGCCAGGGAATGCAGGTGGCCTCTAGAAGCTAGAAAAGGGAAGGGAACACAGCCCTGCTGGTCCATTTTAGACTTCTGACCTCCAGGAATGTAAGATAATAAATTTGTTCAGCAATAGGAGGGACTTAATATATCATCCAAAACAAAACTCAGCTTTGTTCCTCCAAGGACTGGAGAATAAACCCATCTGCTCAGGAAGCCGAAGATGCCACGAACCGAGGTGTACAGTGACATCTGAAAGTCAAAGGAGCTTGAACAGTGTGGGGGCCTGGGCACGTGAAGTCTGGCTGCCAGCACAGATAGAAACAACACCTCTCCACGGATCGCACCCTGGCAACGTGGGGAGGAGGGCAAGCCTGGCTTCCAGATACCCCTTTCCTTCCACACCCACAGGAGCAGGTACTATTTCCCTCTTTCAAGACACCTGGTATTGTTGCATCTTTCCATTAAAAACATGAAACATTGATTCCCTCTAGGGTCCCAATATCTTATTGGTTCTCCCTCCCAGAGTCATTTGCATTTGAAAAAGAACGTGCCGGGCTGGCTGGTTAGCTCACCTGCTTACAATGCGGTGGTTTTTTTTTTTTTTTTTTGACCGGTAAGGGGATCGCAACCCTCCGCAAGGTGTTGTCTGCGCCAGGCTCAGCCAGTGAGCACACCGGCCATCCCCATATAGGATCCGAACCCACGGCCTCAGCGCTCCCAGCGCTGCGCTCTCCTGAGCGAGCCACGGGCTGGCCCTGTTTTTTTTTTTTTTTTTTTAATGACCGGTAAGGGGATCTTAACCCTTGGCTTGGTGTTGTCAGCACCACGCTCAGCCAGTGAGCAAACCGGCCATCCCTATATAGGATCCGAACCCGTGGCCTTGGTGTTATCAGCACTGCACTCTCCCGAGTGAGCCACGGGCCGGCCCCTACAATGTGGTGTTATAACACCAAAGTCAATGGTTCAGATCCCTGTACTGGCCAGCCACCAAAAAAAAGAAAAATAAAACCATAAACAAACAAACAAAATGAAAGAAAGAAAAGGAACATGCCCATGTCCACAGAGGGTAATGCAGACCATACAGAACTAAGCTCAGTCAACTCTTTCACAGCGAGAATGCCACATAAAGGTAAAGGCAGAGGTAGGGGTGATGTATCAAGTCCAGGAACATCACGAAATGCCAGCAGACCACCAGAAGCCAGGAGAGAGGACAGATTCTCCCTGACAGCCTCAGAGGGAAGCAACCCTGCCCACACCTTGATCTTGGACTTCCAGCTTTCAGAACCGCGAGACAGTACATTTCTGTTGTTCAAGCCACTGGGAAACTAATACTAATGCCTCCAGATGCTGGGCAGGCAGCTGAAATGCGAGGAATGGGTATGAGATGGCTCTGGAAGCTAATTACCCTGAACTGTAACCAAGGTCAGCAGGAGGAGAGGATGTGTGGGAGGCAGAGCTCAGAGGTCCAGAAGAGACCTGGGTGCCCAGTCTCAGCAAGGATGCCCACCAGGACAAGGAGACCACCCCAGGGGTAGAGCGAGACCCACCCTACCACAAACCCAGAGTAGTCAAACCACTGCAGAGAAACAGAAACTCAGGCAAAGCACACATCCCCTGCCAGCAGCCAAGAATCCTGCAGGACCAGTCTGCTCTTCTGGATGTCTGCATGTGGCACCCCCACACCCTTCGCGCCTTGCATGGTCAACCTGGAAACAGCATCCAGGAAACTCTCCGAATGGAAAGCCACATCTGGGGCCGTCCGAGAACACAAGTCTTAAAATGAGTTTGTAGAGCTGGACACCTCCCTTGTTCTGCCCTTGCAACCTCCCAGGCAGTAAGTAAAGTACTATAAAAATGGAATGAACTTGAGGTCAAGGGAGGCCCTGAGGCTCTGCAATTTGGGAGCTGAAATCTCTCAGGGAAGGTAGCTTCAGGGAAGGGTGAGACGGCAGGAATCTTTCCCTAATAAGAGCAAGTAATTTGCCATCTGATGGCCTTGACTCCAAGTTTCTGGAGAGCTGGGGCCAAGCTCGGTGAATGCCTGCTTTCTTTCTCTAAAAATAAAAAAAGGGGGGGTTCGCAGGTGTCTCCCTGAGGAGGCTGCCCACAAGGAGGGGGAGGCTGAGGGAGATAAACGATCCCTTTCAGCTGTGAGACAGGTTTTACCTGTGAGCCGAGCTCTGGGATGGTGAGCAAGTCAGACCTCTCCACTGGCCCAAGCCTGATGCCAGGCCCGTGGTGGCCTCGCTGGGCACCATGGCTGGTTGCTTAATCAAGACCTGGGGGCTGAAGCTGGGAGCTGCTTCCTCCTTCTCATGAGGACTCTGAGCAGCTGGGTGTCTGGGGCAGCTCTGTGGCAAGCAACCCACCAGGCCAACAGACACCCGAACATCAGCGAGCAGCCTGGGGTATGAGGAGGCCCAGAGGAGAGCTCTGGCAGGGCTTGGCCTCCCAGGCTGAGGGTCGGGGCTCCAGGGTTTGCTTCTCAGCTCTGCTGGGAACTGGTCTAGCAGCCTGGGCCAGACCCTTCACCTCCCAGGGTTTCAGTTCCCTCCACTGTCAAAAGGAGAACAGCATGTTGCTCTTGCCCATTGCTGTCTCTTGGGACCGGGATGCAGATGGGTGAGTTTCTGAGACGAGATTAAGTTGTGTAGAAAGCGAGAAAGGGAAAGGGGTCTGGAGAAAGGCGCCCGGGTCGGGGGAGGTGACGGACAAGAATGAGGGGGCACAGCAGAGGCCTTGGAGGTGAGAGGCCACTGTGCGGACGGGAACCAGGGTCAGAGGGCTTTGACCTTCGCCTGCCTCCCGCTGGGCCCCCGGAGGCTGCGGGAGGAGCGCCCAGCCTGGGGCCCCGGGAGGAAAAGGGGCACCTGCTCCAGGCGGCCTTTCTCCCCACGGCTTCCCTTCCCGTGCCTCAGTTTCCCCTCTTCAGACTCCAAGGCTCACGACGGACGGCGGCTTTTTCAGGCCGGAAGGAAATGCCCTCCGGAGCGGTGGCCGCCACAGCCACCCGCCCCAGGCTGAGATCTCGGAGGGCCCAGCCTCCCACCCGCGTCTTCTAGGCGCCAAAGCCCAGACCTGGACCCTCGCCCTCGCCGGAGGAGAGGGGAAGGCAGGGAAAGAGGGGAGAGCAGAAGGGAGGCGCGGGGCAGGCGGATCTGACCCCGGCCCCCAGCGCGGAGCCCCCACCTCCCGCCGCCGCTCGCGTCCCTGCAGCGCGTGACCGCGGCACTGCGGCTGCGGCGCTGCCGTCCCCCGCCCGCGCCGGACTCATGGGGGTGGGGGTGGGGGCCAGGAGGTGCAGGATCCCACCTCGGGGGATGCGCCGTGCGGGGAGTGGGTGATGACGCCCCTGCCCCTTCCTTGTTTCCTGGAGTTTCTCGACCCGTGAGCGCGTCGCTGAGTCACCTTCCCGGAACGCGTTCTGGACGCTCAGGACTCAGCCTGGGCTGCCCGGGGGCCGCTTAGGGCGGAGGCGCGCACCGCACAGACACGGGCGGGGCCGCCGGCCCAGGGACCGCCCGTGCCAGGCTGTGCCTCCCGCCCCGGACCGCTAGGTCTCGTCTGCCTGGCCCCCAAGTCTTGGGCAATGGGGCCGGGCCGGCTGGGTCCTCCCGCAGAGAAGACACAGCGGAGGCGCGCCCAAGCTCGGGGCGCGGCCGGGCTCTGGCTCCGTGCGCCTCCCGGACCTGCCTCTTCTCCACTGTAAGAAGCGATGAGAAGAGAGAGGTGTGCGGGGGGTCGAGTGGGGCAGCCGCGGGCACGGGGGGCCCTTTGCGGCCAGGGCCTGGACCACCTCAGCTTCCTGCCGGGCTTTGGGTTTTTCTAACGGGTCCTACCTGATCAGGTCACCAAGTCGACGTTGGCAACTTTTTCCTCCCAGTCTCCGCAAATAACCTCCCGGGGATTTAACTGGAGTTGGTCGCAGGCACGTTTAGGTCTCTGGCCCCGAGGTGTGTCACACACACTGACACGCGTCCCCATCTGCCTCCCTTGAAGTGACAACTCCCGGGCGCTTTTGCATCTTCCCGCCGAGCCAGTGGGGGCAGAGCGGACACGCCCCGCATGCTCGACTCTCCCATCGCGCCCCAGACCCCCAGGCCTGGGTGCACCGCCAGGCTCCTCTCCCGCGGCCGGTCGCTCTCCCCGCTAGGGACGGAGCGCCAGGCTGCCTCCCGCTCGGTGGCTCAGCTGCCGCGCCGGGAAGCTAAAAATAACCGTCCACGGGAGAGCAGGGGGAGGAAGAAAGAGGGGAGCCGGCGGG